TCCAAAACGTCTATTTTGACGTCCACGTTTTAACCTGTCCTCGCGATTCTCCTCCTCACGAACTCTTTTTAAAATAATCTGTGATGTGAGACATTTCTGCCAAAAAAAAAAAACATACAGGATGGGATGTAACTTAGTGTGGCAAGCGGGAAGAAGAGTGAATACTAGAAGGTAATTGAATACTGTATGACAATTTTGATCAAATCAGCCACCCAGTCAGCTGAGAAGAAAGTTATTACATTGAACTGATTATCAGTTGCCAACAACGCCACTCCAGGAATTGCACCTGGAGAATTAGGTTAACCCTTTACACAGTGATTGAAACACACAAATTCGTTTACTAATGCGGGCTTGAGACTGGGTCCAGAGTACAAATTCAATTAATCTTTATTAACAGTCTGTTATTTTAACAATTCCTCAATAAAATGTTTTGCATACTCACACATTCATACCCACACACACATCCCTAAGGCAATCCAAAAAAATACACAAAGAAAAAGCAAATAGCAAAATTGGGTTAAATCAATTAAACACATATAGCTAAACAAACCACACAAATGCAAACAAAAGAAAACTGACAAACAAAGAAACAAAATTACTCAAAAGTAATCTAGAAATGATCAATCTACTAAACATGCAAAACAATTAAAACACAATACTACTAATAACTAACCAAAAATAAACAAAAAAAAGAAAACATGCAAAGCAACCCACACAGAGCGAATGTAATTTCAAAAGTGATTGACCCTCAATAGGCTACATGCAATCAAAAAAACCAACACAAAACAAACAAAATTGCCAATAAAGTTCAGTCCAATTGTTATGTAAAATCCTAAAATACATACATTGGGCACCGGGGTAAAAACGTCAACCCACTTACTGCCAGAACAGCACAGTCAACGATTTAAAGTTGGATGTAGGCTGGATGATTGGGTTCAAACAGCTACACCAAACAGCAGTTAAAACAGCAGCCAGCCAGCGACAGCCCGGCGCGAAGGGGCGGGGGGGGGGGGGGGCGGGGGGGGTTAGTGCTGGCAGACGCCGCTCGCACACATGTTAAAACCTGCCATGAGAAGGGATGTTTTAAAGGCTAAACGAATACCTATGACAGTAGCTTGAGTTGCCGTCATCACACAAACATTACCGTCAGGAGTTGATATGAGCGTCACAAAGGTGAGGAGGAGAAACACCTAAGCCACAGCGGCACAATCACAACGTGACAGCTCAACAGCTGATCGCTCTCCGCTGCAGCACACGTGAGGAGACATGGGAGAGAAACACTCAGGAATCCGTAGATCACGTCCCGATGAAGGAGAGGGAAGATTCCCAGCGAGGAAACTGTATTTAGGAGACAAAAGCCGACCTTGATGGCAACCGCAAAACTTTAAAACACAGCACAACAAAGCCTGCAACTGCAAAACAACCAGGGCGACCCGGCTGTGAGGCGATCAGGTGAGACGAACAGTGCGTGATTAGGGGAAGGGCAGGGCAACCAGGAGCTTCAGAGCAAAAGGACTCCTAGTACACAACCACCCAACCTTTATAGACTGCGCCCCAAGCAGAGATAGGCTGATTCTGCAGCACTAATTAAAGTCACAGCAAGGTTGCAGGCCCATACTGCTACATTAGGGAAACTTTTCAAGAAGTTGGGTGTGCTTGGGTGTAAAAGAGATAATATTTAGTTGTTTGAATAGCCACAAAATCAGGTCACCGCCTCCTTCCTCAGGCAGAAAATCCAGTGCGTTCGTATTCTTCTTCTTTGGTCATTTCGGATGGCTCTGCCCCATACAGTGCCAATATATTGCCATAGCGGCGTACAGCCGCAATTGCAGTTACAAATCCACCAAGTACTGAGAAAACAAGTAGACCTACTGGAATTTTGTCAGGAGGCAGAGGTGGCGCAAAATTTGTCGTTTACATTGAAATTGATTGCTTACTGAACCCAAATACTTTCTTTCCTCCTCTTCTGCTCAAATTTTAGACATTTTATTGTAGAACAGTTAGATATCACAACTTTAGGACGTGTAAATTTAACATCTTAACACAGACATAAAAAATAGATGTTTTGAACCAATCCCTGTTCCATATAAGGAGGGGCACATCATTGCACTTATACTTTCAGTCTAAAAACATGACACATGCCATGACACAGTTTTAAGATTCACCCGAGCAGTAACTGAGGATAACTCATCCACCATGTTGATCTAACTGAGGCAGATAGTGGTGTCGTTGGCTCTTTTGTCCCCATCACCGTACATCACTCTCTGCTGCCTCCTGTACTTTCAGCAAGAACTGAAAAAGGCCCCTCGCTGAAATCTGCAGCACAGATCTGAATACAGGACAGCATTGTAAGTAGTAACCGACAGTTCTTGTACATACAGGGAACTGTGAAAGAAGAGATTCTTAAACAGAAGCAGGCAGATATCATTGGAGGAGGTAGAATATTCTGATTTGACTAAACAAAAACAATGAGACATATTCTGCAATTTACTTGTTTCCTATGATCCAGAGACCCAGAATAAAGTTTGGGTATTTCATCTTTAGCTAAAATAAGTCTGTTATGGATGAAAACAACATAGAACTGTGAATTTTTTTCATACATTTTCAAAGACATTGCTTGTGTTTTTTATGCCTCCGCACTGGCAGTCGAAGCGGGAGGCATATTGTTTTCAGGTTGCACATCTGTCCGTCCCATTCTCATGGACACAATATCTCAGTAACACCTTGATGGAACTTCTTCAGATTTGTCACAAACCTTCACTAGGACTCAAGGATGACTGATTAGATTTTGGTGGCTAAAGGTCACTGTGATCTCACAAAAAACTTTTTAGCCATTACGCAAGACTTCACACAGCAATTATGACAACATTTCGCACAAATAGATAATATTTTATATGAGTCTGCATACACAGGGATGTAACGCAGCAATTCTAGTTTTATATGTTTATAGTGGACATCAAGTCATTGTTCTTCTCTCCTCTCTGCAATCTTGCATCAGGGCAGAACTTTAGAATAAAAAAAAAAAGAATGAAATGCAATAAAATTAAAATGGGATAAAGTAAAATTGGGCTATGGAAATTGTTAGGTAATCATTTAACTTTGAATCAGTGAATAAAGGGAAAAAAGCTCAGATCTATCTTACAGATGTCTTTCCTGTCTGAGTAGACTCAATTATCTCACCCAGGTAGTAATCAGAATATCACACAATTATGATGAAATTAATTATGAACAAACAAAAAATGAAACCTTCACACAACTACTCCTCAGTACGTGAACTTTAACTGTCAGGCTTTCATCCAGGTCCTCACCACAGCATGGGAAGCCGAAGTACAAATACAATAAGTGCAACAAATTGTTAAAGAACCGCATTTTCAGTATGTGCTTTATGAGAAGAGGACAAGGTGCTTATAATGTTTTACGTTCACCCATTCATACACCTAATGCAGTGACACCACTGGCACTGGCCCGCTCATCTCGAGGAATTCCAATGTCCTGCTTAAAGACACTTCAACATGTGAACAGGAGGGGCCGGGGTTAAATACCATGTCTACAATCAATGGCCAACCTGCTGTATCAAACTACCACAGCTGCCAGTGTGGCTCAGGCCAGTTAACCAATCAGCACAATCAACACAAAATGAACCAATTACAGCAAAGACCTCCGGGTAGCACAGCTTTTGACAATTTTTCTTGTTTACAGAAATATAAAAGCGGATTAAGTTGGTCCCTATATCCACCACAGAGGACATTGAAAAAAAGAGTCAGAGGGTAAAATTTGGTGCATGTCATTGAAAAATCGAAACAAAATAATTTTTATATTTAGGAACATCCTAAATTCATAGTTTTAAATCACTTACCCCTCTTGCTCCCATAAGAGAAGAGGTGTTTGAAAGTTTCAAAAGTCATTATGCCTATTGTGATGGACACCCCACAAATGGGATATCATTGGAAAGACCAGGATGTCCAGCTAAATAGTTATTGAAATGCAGAAGAAGATGACATTCCCCCCACAGAAGACAAAAATGCAGTAGTCGAGACACCTAATCTCAACGTTTACCCATTATTTTTTCCAGGATCTCGCATATGGTTTAAATGTGATCAGCTCTGGGCTCTTTGTGGAGGCTGTAGGAAGCCCACCTCAGCTCCCTGCCTGAGAACCAATATAGGTGGTTATCTGACTCCGTGTATGCACAGCCACCGCTCTCGCCTTATCAGCAGTCTGAAGCTTGCATGCTCAATCACCTGATTTGTCAAGGGTGACTCCAAAAGATTCTGATAGGCACTCCGCAAATCACCCAGTTGATCTAAAATATCGACCAGCCACAAAAAGTCATTACACACAATAATGGCGGGCAGGACCTTGAAGATGTGACTTAATTAGGTTTCAAATGGCTTCAAAAATGCCTTCAAATCCGCTCCCCTGGAGAGTTATGCGGTCTTGGATTTTTCTCAGTGATTACAGGTGTAGAAAGTGAGGCACACTGCCACTGACAATGCCGCTGCTGCTTCTAACTATAGTTGATAGCAGCAGCACAAACATCACACATGTACAGTCACACAAATTCACACCACTGCTGCTCTTTAGCATGCTTGTCTGCTTCAGCCTGTATTTTCCTCACACCTGATAATGATTTAGGCAGACAGAAAGCATATACCACTGCTGCAGCTGCAGAAAACCTTTGCTGAAGCAAACGATGTTTCCCTAATGAAATTTTGAAAATAATTGAATGTAAATGGTTTTTCAGGCCTTGATGGAGCTGCATACATTGGCAGTATTTAAATGACTGATGTGAGTGCTCTGTCTGCCATTGTTTTTTAAGTCACTGCTGAGACAAAAACTATTTGTCATTTACCTCCAACCTAGGACTTCACGTTCAGCAAAAGAAAAACAGCAGCTTTTGCAATGAATAAATATGACATAATTACATTTTTGATTTCCCTGTATCTAAGCAGATAGGATTTCTTTTCTTACTCACAATGCTGTTCCATGTCTCCTCACAGAAAACCAAGATTTCCACGTATGATAAGATGTGGGAGTTCATGAGTAGTCGCAGACACTCGGTGATGGTGAAGAACGTTGAGGAAGGGATTCACCGTGTGCTCACTTCAGACTACGCATTCCTCATGGAGTCCACCACCATCGAGTTCGTCACACAGCGCAACTGCAACCTCACCCAGATCGGAGGCCTTATTGACTCCAAAGCCTACGGGGTCGGCACCCCAATGGGTATGTACACTACGTTTAGAATACAACTTGTTGCCTGTACATGCTCTAGATATACAGTACATCCAAAAACCAGGGACTACTCAGTTATTGAGGTGTGAAATCAGATAGCTACAGTTCCAAGTGTTGCAGTGAGAGGTGCTGTAGCAGACAGCAGCAGGACAAAGCCGTCTTCTTTGAATTGTGCTTCCTTCAAGTTCAAGCTTGAGAGTTATTTTTCAAGTGTTCTTAGTAAACCACAACCCTGTACATTATTCTTTCTTAAATACATGTATGCTCTGCATTCCAGGGCTCACTGTCATTTCATAATATTTAATGAGTCTGTGCATATAAAATATCTTATTACATGACAATGACTTAGCTAATCCTCTCAAGTAATACTGTCTCCAAACATAACTAGTAAATCAGAAGTCAGAACAAAAGTAAGATCCTACCTTGTTGCAAATTAACAGCTGTGTTAACTGTATTTGGTGCGTTTATGCTGCACTACATCCCTGAGGGTAACCTGTGGGGGGGAATACTGAGCGGGAAAAATCCTGGGGCTCCAGCAGGCAGAAGAACATTTTAACAGAACTAGAAGGATGAACAGAGAGGGAGGCTCCACAGCAGAGTGTCTTAATCCTGTTACAAACACAGTGAGAAGAAAAAACTCACAAAACTAAATACCTGTGGAATTGCAACTGACAGACATCGTTGCATGATGACCTCATGCAAAAGTCGGATCTTCATCTGTATCATATTCCTCAGCAGAGAGGGGATTGTCAAATACTTCCTGCAGTGTTAATGCCTCCTACATCCTGGCTTTTGAACTATGTACTGTCTCAATGAATGTCAGTCTTATTAACATGAAGCTTGAAAGCACTGGCGACTTATTATTTCGTAGAATGCTTCTATGTCACAACTTGACTCTAAAGTCATGACAAAAAGGGAAGGACATGCTGGATGAAGGCAAATAATGAGAAATTTATTCCAAATTAATAATAGAATCAACACAAAAAAAACAAGGAAATCATGGAATGTGGTGATCAGTATGTAATGTATAGAATATGAAGAGATGTTGGCTGGACCAACACAAAGCTACAAATGCATCACTGGGCCCAGACTGTGCAAAACAAATGGAAAACATAGAATAAGAATGAACTGCCTAGAAAAAGAAATCAAAACATAAAGACAAGAAAGAAAAATTGCTGATGTCATATTAATGTTTCATGTGACAGGTTGAAAGAACTTAAATCAAACATACAAGGCAAAAGACTAAGGGCTCTATCTTACACTTGGCAGAAAGTACAACACAAGTGTCTTTGCTAGTTTCAGACTCACACAGTTGTCATTTTCCCGTCCAGTGCCCGTGTTGTTTAATAGAAAATACACTTACGCCCATCTGAGTGCCCATGGGTGTGTTGGTCTTAAAATGAGCTGGGTTCAGGAGCATTGTTGGTGCATTGCTATCTTGAGCCAGCTGAAAGCAATTGCGAGATTGACCAACAAAAACCTGATCTTAAGTCAGTGGCGCAGTATTTCACTGCCTTTTAAGGGCCTACATAGGCATGTGCCTGTTGCGCACAGCATGTTGGGATAAATCAAGTGGAACATTAGAAAACAGCCTCAGAAGGTCAGAGCATATTTTGTGTTATAAAACAGTGCCATGCAACGCATGACACGTGAGGCTCTGCAGAGAAGGGTTCTTTCTCACTACCTGGTTAATCCACCATAGTGTTTCCCATCTATCAACTAAAGTTGTCCACCACAGTTTCATAATGAAGCTTTAAACCAAGATTTATTCAAACTTCTCGTCATATAATATAAAAGATGTCTAACATTGTGTTTTGTTGCTTGACTGTAGAGCTGTGTACAGAGCGTTGATTTGTTCATCTGGCTTTTAAAGCGAATGGGACACTGTGATTGGTTTGTTAGATATTACGCCCAAAAAACGTGATTAATTGACAGATTAAGTACAACCCTTTTGAACCATGTGCCTGGAGCAGTGACGGTTTTTTCCGCAGATACCCTAAATGTATTTGTGCCACGCGCTCTAGACTATATGCTTTGGATCGTTACAATAAAATTTGAAAGATAAGATGTGCATAGTCACCACTTGATAATCTAATCCATATTCAAACCATGCTTGTCCTTTAAAAGAGGTGTGGTGAGTGGGGGAAGTGGATCATCCCACACTCACTGGAGAATTTGTCACTTTACCCTTAATATCTAGCTTTACCCTTTTATTTATGCTGAAGTAGTCTAATGGTTGTCAAAATCATCTTACTGCCTACTATTTGATAGTATTACATATTGCGCTCTTTATTGAAGATACATAGTGAAATATCCAACAACCAAGATGCATTTGTGACTTCACAAATGAAATGATAATATGGAGCATGCTTTATGTTCATGCTAAAATTCAGCCGGATATTTGGGATGTTTGGGAATTTTTAGATCAGCAATAGAATTCTTCAGTTGTAGAAATCATCCATTTTCTATTAGCAACTCTGGTCAAAAAATCCTAAGCATCAGCCTTCAGAAATCTCCCTCAGTACCCAGCAGCTGTATTGTCCTTACAAAATTGATGAAATGTCCTCTGGGAGACTGAGTGTTGGCAAGGTCGTCTGCTGCTGTTTGTGTATGCTCTGCTGGTCAGCCACAGAAGGTAATTTGAGTGACTGTAGCTGTGTGTGAAAACAGTGGAGGTAGGCTATATTTTCTTTGGGTGATTGCATTTCCTGACTGATGTGCTCCTTTTGAAGGTTTGCTACTGTGTGTTTGCGTGTGTGTGTGTGTGTTTGCGTGTGTATGTGTGAGAGAGAGAGCGAGGGAGAGACAGAGTGTGTGTGTGTGTTTGCGTGTGTGTGTGTGTGTGTGTGTGTGTGTGAGAGAGAGAGAGGGAGAAACAGAGTATGTGTGTGTGTGTGTGTGTGTGTGTTTGTGTGTCTGCAGATATGCATTTTCCTAAGTGACTGTGTACTTGACTATAAGCACACAGCGGTGTACATTGCATATATTTTACTGATCATTTACTGGACATTTATTCATATAATACACGTGGCTTCATGTGTGTGTGTGTCACTGAGAGAAAGACAGGAAGCTTACGAGGTGATGAAGGTAATGAAGGGAAAGTGAGTGTACCACACAGTTGTTGTCTGTACTGGAAAAAAGGAGGGGTGTTAGCATCATTACTCCCTGGTGGCCCATTCACATGCTGTCAAGACAAGGTATTTAAATTGCTAATCCTAGCCTTTTATTACCCTTTACCATATGCAGCCTGTATTCCCATATAGCCAGGACATTTAGCATATATCTAATTGACTTGAACAGAGAGTATGTGTTAGCCTGCATTAGTACCTGGGCTCTGACAGAGCTACAGCACTCACTGCTCAGCCCCTTGGCATCTGCCTCAGCTCTGTAATGGACGGACCTACTTCACCTCCCAGGTGTAAGTCATTGCTGAATCTAATGGTGTGTTTAGTCCATTAAATAGCTAATGGTAAATCCTGTTAATTCTCAGGACAACACTTACACATATTAAGGACTCAGGTAGAACAGAGATCCTGTATGTGTCAGGAGAAGTTAATGTGTTCTATCAATGTATGTATTCACGTCAATTAATTGAGATTTAACTGTATGACATTCAGAATATATATCTGAAAGTGCATACACATATACAGTATATATAGAAGAAAACATTGTTTGTAATCTATATCAGATACTCCATGTTATGGTACTGAAATGAGAAAGTGGTATCAAGTCATCTGTAATTATAACTGAACAAAACAAAACAGTGAAGATAAAAATATATTCCCTATTCATCATAGCAGTTTAATCTCCTGTATCGGCCCAAGCGACCATACCATGACTGTGTGCTGGGAGCCAGGCAGGGGAGTGTCTGCCCTCCACAGTCTCAGAGTGTGAAGTTAACATCATTTTTCTTCTTTTCCTCTCTTAAAGCTGATGTTTCCGGCAGTATTTAGAATACTGGGTACAATGTAGAGGAGAGCGATGGGTCCCAAAGCTGGGACACTGTGTTTAAAAAGGATATTCCTTTTAGTTTTTTCCTTGTTATCGTTTGCTAAATTTGTTGTTTTTTGACAGTGTGTGTATATTTCTAATATTATAGTCATTAAATGGAGTCACTGCCAGTGCTACCATCACAGGTTTTATATGCCTACGTTGTATAGGCAGCTCCTGCAGATGACTGTATGGAGGCTATACATTATTCCTCCTCGTCCCTTTTTCTTTGTCTTTCTCCCTGGGGACTATCAATCTTCATTTACCTTCATTAGGCTGCATTAATCAAATAAGGTAAAGGGGAAGTGTCTGTGCGGGCTGCTGTCCCTCCAGTCCTCTCTGCTGCTGCCTGCTGGGCTGTTTAGCTTCACCTCATAAACAGGAAGGGTCCTGAGAGAAAGAAGGTCTTATAGAATCATTAATTATAAGCATAAAATAAGAATAGCTGAAAAGACATATGAAGAGTCTTTATGTATTAGACCTCATGAAATTGCTACTTTTTCATGCTATTTTTATGTGTATGCCCCCAATGAAGACAAAACGTTGATGATGACAATTTGAAGAAGACTGAGTCTTTATCTTTTATCCTAAGGTCTTAATTTGACCCAGAGCAGATTATGAGCTCATTGGACAGATCCAAAATGTGATACTCTCAGCTGACTGATGAAACCAGAGCTCAGCTCTTATCTTAGAGGGTTTTAACCAAACTAGACAGCATTTTGTACCTGCTGCACATTTTGGTGTTCTAGTCTAATTTGCCTGACTATTACAGTAAGCAGGTCATGTGTATCTGCACTCATGAGATGGTATCAGCACTGAGTGATAAAATAATCCTAGTCATATGCACAGAAATCAAACATATCATGAGTGCCAACCTAATTCAAGAACTGCTTACACACCAGAGAATCATCTTTTTAAAAAAGTAGTAATGCTTTCTTGCTTATTCAAAATCCACAGAATGTATTTATTTAAGATACATTTATTTGCTGTTCTTTGTTTGT